CGCAGGCAAGACATGAGGAGGCAGGCAGGAGGCAGGAGGGAGGCGGGAGGAAGGAAGGTGGAGACCACAATCCTTTATTCAAAATGCCCAACCAAGGAGGGTTGGGAAACAAATCGTCGTCATTGTGATCGTGATCGTCAAAATCACTAATGCCGCCAATGTCACAAGCCAACGTGCCCTTTGTGCAGCCCATTTTTTTCGATAAGGTAACGACGAATACAAGGATTATTGTACAAACAGTGCGCTGCCGCATTGAATGCCAATTGTAAGGCCCCGCATTCCCGTAATATGTGGCACGCTCTACGCATGATGTCATTGTGTACCCCCGGCTCTACACAATGCCCCTTTGCTACGACGGCGTCAGTGATGCCTTTGCCGCGCAAGCATTGTCCCATACTGTCTGCATTCGTAATCCTGCCCTCCCGGAGAAAGCGGCGGAGCCGCAGAAACGCAGGGCGCGCGAAATCAGGTGTCAATTGGTGGTCGTTGATTGAAGTAGTTGCCCCCGAGCGTCAAATTGAAAGAGAATTAGATGCGACATGCCAATCGTGGTCCAAATACGAGGCTCTCAGAATTCAGACCGCTGGTGGTTCGAAATGCGCTCCACAAATTCGCCTGGATCAATATCACTACTGGCATATTCGAACAAACGTAGCACAGAATGTGCGTTTTTGGTGGCAAATGGTTCAAGGAGAAACATATCTAAAAATGGCCTGCACCGTGCTGGGTGGACATGGCATTGAATTCGGAAGTGGTGGGGCGGAGGCCAATGGGCTGGGAAGGGCCTCCGGTCGTGGTGGGCATTCTCTTTCGGCTTCTCCTGGAGTCGGAGGTGGTCCTAGGCTCTTTGGGGCGTGCGTCGATCGCTGGCAATTGTTCGAGGCCGTGGGCCGAAGTCCAAAACATCAAGAGCTCTGTCGATGTCACACCTTGGAGGTGGATGTCTTGGGGAGGAAGGTGGAGTGGTAAATTCATCGCGGGGATCGTATTGCGGGTAAGCGTCGGGAGTACGTTGGACCGGATTACCGTCGGCATGAGAGCGTGGGACGTTGCCGAAGTCGAAGAGTTTGTCGGATGAACGAGGGGTGATGTGCAATTATGCACGCCCTTTTGCCACATGAGATCATTTGCTCGATGTCGGATCGGGAGATCTATTGACATGCATGAAATGATGTACCAAATAATGATATGCAAAAAATATCTTTGAACCCATATTGAAATGCCAATCGGAACTAATGGTAATGCTCGTGGTAATTGATGGAGTTGCCGCCCAAACTGCAATATTATGCTGATGTCAAGGTGAATTTGTGCCGTTGGGAACTGCAGCGGAAGAGGTGTGAACATAGTATCCATGTTCATGTGTGATGTCGTAGCAACAATATCTTGCGCAGCATATTGGGCTTCATTTTGGTATCCAGACAGACCAATTTCATAACCTACCATCTTGAAATTACTCTACTTCTGTGAGGTAACTTGCCATCAATATTGAAAATATTGCTACACCTTTCCCGCGCATGGTCGTATTGGATCATTGCGGTGACCATCGCCGTCGGAATGCCCGTTCAAATGTTGGGTGATCCGTCGGATCCGGGAGATTGCGGACCCAACCCGTGCAACCCATACATATATATATATATATATATATATATACTCATATATATATACATATATGTATTCCGTGGTATTTGTATGTGTCTTACCCACTATATCGACAACCGTTGTTCTTGTCATATTTGCCACGCCGAAGATTGCCTTCGTATGGTGTCGGAATACTGAGAGCCAGCGTCGGACGCGTATGAGCGTCGAAGCCGTGGGAAACGTTTTTGGACTCAAACGTCCTATCAGATGCTGAAAGTGGGTGTGTGTACCTGGAGTCGGGATTCCGAATTGGCGTGGACAAAGAACCGGGGTCGGAGGAAAATCTGGAATCGGAAATCAATGTGGTGCTAGACCGTAGGCTGAAATCACTTTTCTCACGAACTAAGCTGGCCTGAAGTTGGAGAGTCGGCGTCAAAGCCCGTCGGATCTATGATGGGAACTATCGTGGGGCCTGATTCCGATGGGCTTGCCATCGGAAAAAATTCAACCATCTCCTACGCCACGTGGAAATTCGACTAAGCGTGGCCCGGCCTAGCGCATCGCGACGGTGTCGCCACTCTCAGGTGGAGGCGAGTGGCGACTCCGTGTGTGTGTGTGTGTGTGTGTCTGTGTGTATGTGTGTGTGTGTGTGAGAGAGAGTGTGTGTGTGTGTGTGTGTGTGTCTGTGTATGTGTGTGTGTGTGTGCGCGTGCCGTTCCCGCCCGCTTGTCTGCTGCCCCTGTTTTGGCCCGCTGGGGCAGATCGCTCCAGCGTTGGTTCCTGACACCGCGGGGATCGTTCAACCCTGAACGGTCGGCCGTTTCCGAACCGTCGGATCGTGCAGCATCGACCGATTCTGGGCCGCCGCTGGCGTTCCACGTTGAACGCCGGCGGCGGAGGCGTCGCCGCTGGTCGACAGGAC